AATCCAGTTTTCCTTTGCTATGATGCAGATGGCACTGCCGTGAATATTCCGGATATACTGGACCAGCACATTCGAGAATCATTCAGTGCCGAAAGTTCACTAAACCCCCAAGCGGGCTTCGACCAAGATATGGCAAAGTTTGAGGAACTGGCGGACATACCGACACAAGGCGATAACGCCAGAGAGGCCCCATAAGCCGAACCACCACAGGAGGCTGGACGGCTTTCCACGATCTATGAGGAAACAGATGCGGACCTCGAGGCACATCTCATGGAAGTGTGGTACACAGAACTACATGAAGAAAAGGAACAAATGGAGGCAACTCCATTAGATGACCTTGACACTGTACCCACGCATATGATCACCGACAGCAGTGTGCTGGTCACGGTAGCTGAAGAGCAGCGGGGGCACCTGCCTAAACGGGTTCACCCACGCGACTCCGACACAGGAGGCGCATCATCTCCCACTGTGCTCTGCGGTCGAAGACCACAGTTATGGATTGGACTCGGACGAGAATCGCCATTATGTAGAACTTTGCTTCGCTGCAGAAATGTCACAGGTGGTCCTATCCGAACAACAGCATATAATATTATATGTTGACCGTGTAACCACCATGCGAGTATATGTCACCGCCGCCGCAAAACGGGCTGCGGTCGTCAAGGAAGACGACCTCCTTGCGAAGGCTGATGTCCAGGCGGATCCTGAAAAGGTATAAGAAAGCCCTTCATACTGAACTCAAGACATGGTTTGACAACAAGTGTTTCAAGATGCACGATATATCTAAAGCATCAAACATCACGACTTCGAGGTACATATATAAGTGGAAGTTCGCGAAGAACGAGGGGCGAGAGGAACGCGCCATCGGACTGCGCCTGGTCCTCCGGGGATTGATGGACTTCGAGGCTTTCGACGTGGAAACCTTCTCAGGAGCAGCGCGGCGGCCAAGCCAGATATTATTCGCAAGCTCGGCAGCGCGCAAGAAGCAATGGATCATTGCTTCCCTCGACGTCAACATGGCCTTCCCGGGTGGGTTGACCTACCGGGAACTTGCCGAGGCAACTGGCGAGAAGGAACGCGTGGCGTGCTTTACCTTGCCGCCTGGACCGGCAACGGCGCTTCGATCCATTTCAGGATTCGCACTGCGACGAGTCGAAGCACTGCCGGCAGCGCTTCAAGCCAGGCACCGGCACAAAGGATGCACCCATAGCTTTCTCACTGAAGCTCAGAAGGACCACGGGGGGCTTTGGTTTCAGACCTGCGTCCTACGACGAAGAGTTCGGGGCGAGCAGTGACCTGCTTGCAGCCAAACATGTGGATGATACCAATATAGACGGCACTGAGGACACCATTGACAAGTGCGTCAAGCGCGTCGAGGACACTTTCGGCAAGTGCAAACTCAACACTCATACATATACCAAATGTGCTGTGAGGCGCGCAAAGGCTGGGATGGTAATGTTAGGTTGGGCCAAGGTGAATACATCAAGCAGCTCCGTCCTATGCAACATCCTGAACTCACAGGCGCAGGCGCTGACGCCAAATCATCCAAGATGGTTGCTGACGTGTTCGTCAGCCTCAGAGGCGCGTTGGCTTGCGTCTTAATCACACAAGTGTGGTCGACTTTCAATCGATGACTCCAACGGGCGAAGTTGACCTGCACAGCGACTCCAGCTATCGACGCCTGAGTGGAGACGCCGATGTCGAGGTCAAAGGCTACGGCATTCGCGGGGCAAGCCTGCTACGGCGCAGAAGCACGCCATCCGATAAGCCCGCCGTCCACTTGATGGATGCGCACTGCAAGTCTCGCCGCTTGCAGGTCCGCTCAATCTATTCACCAGACGCTTGCAGCAGCCCGCAACTTGGAGGACTGCTATCCCACGATCGTGACTCTACACGAGCTCCATGCAGGTTCACTGACACCCACTCAGTTGAAAGATATTGGAATTTGGTGGCCTGAGCATCAAGGTCATGTTGATCATAAGTGCCGAAAATGTTTTCAAGTCCTTGTCACTCGAAGATCTGAAGAAGCCGACTGAGTGTACTCTTTTGCGACACATCAGTTGGATACGACAAATGATGGAGCGAGGAATCGTGCATAGCATTCAGTGGTGTGACACTCGCGACATGACCGCGGACGGTCACACAAAGGGGAGCATTGACAGAGGTATGCTCCTACAGGTGATGGGAGGCACGCAATCCTTCAAGCATGACTCAAAACGTCATATTCCTTCTCGGGCTGGCCAGACAACTTCTTCTGAGGCCGCTTAAGGAGTAATCGTATGCACAGAAATGCGCTTGCAAGGTAGTTTGCTTGCGGGCCCACCTTCCTTTTTGACCCGCCTTTGGCTGCCTTTTATGTACATGTTGTTTGCTGTATAGGGGCGGCGGACGCACGCTTCGTCTCCCTTCCCCCCCGACTTTAAAGTGAGCTGGGACAAGGGCGAGAGATAGCGAACGTTTGTCCGCGGCCGTTTGTGTTCAAGCGGCCGGCCGCCAACATATGATTGCGCCTCATTGCGAGGCATGCTATTCGCCATCGAAACCACCAAAAACATCATTCGCTTGAGATGGCCCGTCGCTCCCGCGACGACCTCGTGCGACTGGGACTATCGCTACTACGATACAACAGAGCAGGAATTGTGCTCCGCCTAAGGCGTAGCTTCTGGACGGGCCTACCGGCCCCTTCAAACGGGTAAGTGTGGGGGGGGAAGACGGAAGCCCAGCTGATTTTAGAAAAGCATGGGAGTTCCTGGCATCTGGTGCGCTCATCTCTGTGTTTTTGTGGGCCCTCCACCTTGGGCGCACCGCCGACGAGAGTGTCTCAATCTGCTGATGTACGTCGTCAGTCTAGTTTTCGACCAGGACCGCCACGAGGGTGCGAAGTCGGTCGCGCTTCGTGCTTCGCGGTCTGGGCGATCTCGGAACGGCGCGAGAGTCCGTCGTCCTGTTCCACTGGGGGGGGAGCGAGCGGCGGCGCGAGAGCGCGAATACTGAGTGCCCCAGCACTGCTCCTCCTCCGCCGTCTCCGCGCCTCCTCCGCCGGGCCTGTGCATCTGCTGCTGCCCCCCCCGGCTCTGCATTTTTCGGGCGGGGCTAGCACGAGGATAAGCCCGCCCCAGAGCGTTCCGGAACGCTCTCAGAGCGTTCCGGAACGCTCTGAGAAGGCCGCGGCGCCCGAGACATCTTCCAGAGCAGCAAGATCTCAGAGATTCTCACTCGATCCTCACCCGATGTTATCTTCGTTGTGGCTTCGTCTTTTCGGGACTGTCAGAAAACGACTCAGGATGAAGAGCTGGTCCTGGGGGAGGGCCCCGGGGGGTCCAGGATCCGCCGAGGCGGAGGCCCTGGGGCAGTGCTGTGGGAGAGGCGGTGCGTCTTAGTTTATCGTCGTCCTGGCCTCGTCTTAGGGGGCGGGTCCTCAGAGCGCTCCGCACGGTGCAGATGGGGAGGAGGTGGAGGGGCAGGGAGGGAGGACCAGGCAGGCCTCGATCGAAGCGAGATACATTTAAGTCGGGCATGACCTTCTACAGGAGGAATGTTCTTGAACAGTAGCAAAATAGTCTAGTGACGATTTTCCATCGGATTTTGACTCTTCGACACGTGCGTGTGTGAGGCCATGCCCGACCTAAAGATAAATCGGCCTGGAGCGTTCCAGAACGCTCTGAGAGCGTGCCGGAACGCCCTGAAACTACCCAAGTACACGATACGTCCTCCAAGCCCGCCGATTCTCAGAGATTTCCGATTTATATCAGTCCAAAATTGCCTCGGCTCTGCCGTCGTCTTAGAAGGAGCAGAGGGAGGGAGAAAGAGAGGGAGGCAGGTAAGGGGTGCCCGCATGTCTTCTTGTCGTCGGCGACATCTCCTACTCCAATACTCAAACTTTGGTACCAGACACTTCCGATACTGCCACCTTGCATTACAGTCGATTCGCATAGTAAGGATGGGCAATTTCCCCAGGGGCACCTTTGCATCTTTGCCTCTTCGGCCTATCCTTGGCCACTTTCGTTGGCCGCGCCCCGCTCGAAAAGCTTTGAAACGACCTTCCAAGGCCCTTGCACCCTTATCGTGCATCATCATTGTACAAGTCGACTGTAGAAGGTCGTCCCTTTCAAGGTGAAGGGCGCTCTGCTGTCCTCCCAATCCCCCCTTCCGTCGGGCGACCAGGCCAGGAAGGCGTGCATACACCGACCTGGGGTCCAGGGCTTCCATCCATGCTCTCCGATCCCCTTCTCTCAAGCACGCGCGATGGCCAAGCCCTCCGATCCCTCTCCCCTGAGCTTACCTCCTCCATAGCCTCTTGGAGGGCGACCATCCATCCCGAAGGAAAAAAGGCACCCAGAGCAGAACAAAACAACTCAGAACGGAGGTCGAGCCACCATTTCTACAAGAACGGCTCCCGTGCACCGGGCTTGGGCTCCCGTCAGGCCTCGCTCCAACACGGTACAGTGCTTAGGCTTTTGGCTCTCAGGGACCAAGAAAATATGCAACGCACCATTCCCTGGCTTGAGGATCGACGACGCCTCGGGGGACGCCAACGCGGCACGGTGCACAGTAGGGCCTCCTCGAGGGTGCGAAGTCAGTCGCGCTTCGCGGTTTGGGCGATTTCAGAGCGCGGCGCGAGTCCTTCATCCTGTTCCGGGGGCGGGGGCGGCGCGAAAGCGCCAAACGAGTATCGCGCTTCGTGCATTGCGGAGCGCGAAGGCGCGAAGCTGGTTGCCCTAGAGGCGCACCAGCAATCCGCGGAACATGAAGGGCGTCTTTGCTCCGCTGGCCACCCCTTCGGTAGCACATCTTGGGAGCCTGGTACACCCTCTTAATTCAGTCTTTAGCGTCGATTAGCGTCAACTAGCGTCTGGGGGTCGACGAGATAGCGCCGAATTAGCGTCGGGTAGCGTCGACGAGCGTCGACTTAGCCCCGAGCAGCGTCCATGTAGCGTCGGCTAGCGTCGATTCGCAAGCGGCGACAAGATGGTATGGGAGGCTCCCCCCTCCTCGCGGGCGAGGCCGGTGCTGCTCGGCGGCCTGCTGCCCGGCGAGCAGAGGATGGGCATGACGCAGGCCGCCCCGCCGCCCGCCCTGGTGGCCGCTCGCCCCGCGCCCCGCCCGGCCCCCTCTCGCAGGCCCCTGGGCTGGGCCTCTTGCCCCGCGATGCGGGCCGACCGGAATTCGGCGGCGAGCGAGGGCTGGAAGTGAGAAGGTCGGGGGCGGCAAAGAGGGGGATGATGGTTGGGGTGGGTAGATATCATGGCGTGGGCCATGATATTTCTCCAGATTTCATGGCGCCTCTTCTTATTTCATGACGTTCCTGGCCCCCCCCCCTGGGCCGCGCACGTTGCGCCGGCCATGATTTGCGCCCCCCCTCTTGGACGCCCCCCTCTTGGCCAGCCCCGAGAAGGAGAAGGCCTTCTCAGAAGGCTCGGAGGTTCCCTGGCCTTCCCAGAAGTTTCCCAAGCCTTCCCCGAAGACACAGAAGGCTTCTCAGAAGGCGCGAGGGCTTCGAGGAGTCCGGCCGCCTTCGAGAAGGCCTTCTCTTTCTCGTTTCCCCCGTACGCTCGCCGCCGAGACAAGGGTACGGAGAGAATGGGTACAAAGACCGACAGCAGTTCCTGTGCATTTTGAGCAGGACTTGCCGTCGCTGTCGCCGCGGACGCTGTCCATTTGGAGACGCAAGGCCGCCTGCCCAGCAGCGGCCGCTGCTGGTTTTGGACAACGCTTGTTGTTGGGCATTGTGTCCGTACCCACTTCGGGCGTCCGAACCAGACGCCTTGCCCTCGGGGGAAACGGGTCCTTAGGGAGACGGGGGTCCTGAGGTTTTTCACCGCTTTCGAGCCCTCGGGGCCCAGGGGCACCGGGTCGGGCGGTGTCAGGGTGAGAATAGATAATTTCCAGGGCGTTCCAGAACGCTCTGAGAGCGTTCCGGAACGCTCTGAGAAGTCCGCGGCGCCCGAGACATCCTCTAGAGCCGCTAGATTTCAGAGATTGCCGATTGATCCTCACCCGATGGTATCTTCGTTCTGGCTTCGTCTTACTGGGACTGCAAGAAAACGATTCAGGATGAAAAGCTGGTCTTGGGGGAGGGCCCTCCTCCTCTCTTCTGCCCCTCGCCTCCTCCTCCTTCTCAGCGTCCTCCTCCTCCTCCTCTGACCACCTGACCACCTGACCACCTGACCATCTGACCGCACAACGAGTCACCACAGAGGAACCTTCTGCCTCCTCCTCCGGCTCAACGGTGGTCAAGTATTGGTCCACTTCGCGCGATATTTCCACTGATACTGTTGGATACCGGACACAACAGTCACATTGACATATGGATTTGGTTAAGGGGCCTGAGCGCAATTCTGAGACCCTCGAGGTCATGTCACACGACGGGGCGCTGGCAGAGAGACCTGGTGATCACCCGCTCGACCTTCCGCCTAAGCTGAGTTCCCGCGGCTCCTCCGTTGTAGTTTCTAGCAGCGCTCGTCATAGTAACGCCGACAGTGGGAGTTTTTCACTGAATCAATGGTTTGACCATTTCGTGCGTGAAACTGTTCGGCTGAGCCACGAGCAGGGTGCGGGGAAGAGTATATTGCGCATGCTGCCTCTCATCCTCTTACCTTTTTCAGTCTCGTTCAGAGCCATGGGTTACAGGTGGGCCTCGAACAATGGCACGCCCGAGTTCTCACTCTTCTTGCCATCGATGTTTGGAGCGATCATCGGGGCTGGACTAGGCTGCTTACTGCTTTTGGCGAAATTCGGCGTCGATTCCACACGAAGATTGTTTCATAAACAGTATGTACTCGTGTGTGGCATAGGTGTGTTGCGCGGTATCATGTTTGCGTGTGAAAATGTTGCGCTCGCAAACGTTGACTCACTAATCTTCATTGTGACAATGAAGTTTGCGATTGTCCCTTGCCTCTGCATGGAGGCACTTGCCATTAAAGCATGTCCCGTTGATGCCTTGCAGATACTGACCATCATAAACACACTTCTTGGCATCTGGTTGTTCTTGATCTCATCATCGTCAGATGGTGCTGAAAGCAGCATTCTGGGGATCGGATTCTCCATAGTTGCATCGATTCTCGATGCCCTTGCTGACGTATCGATGGGCAATGTGTCGGGTAGACTTATGGCGCCAGAAAACGAGGGTGCTGAGCGAATCCGGTGCATTGTTGTAATGGAGTTCTCCAAAGCATTGATGCTCACGATTCTATCCATGACATTTGAAGCACGCGTTTTGCTTGACAAGGGCATTCTACATGGATTCGACTACAAAGTTTTGATTGGTGCAGTTTTGGGTCCAGAGCTGAAAACAATCTTGGGTAACGTGATGGTAATAGTCATTGGCGCATTGCCGGCAAACTTGGCCGGCACCTGGGACATTGCAGTCACATACATGTTCAAGGTGGTAGTTTTCAGGACAGAGGACTTCGGGGCTACAGCTCTGCTTTTGGGAATGATTACCTGCGCCATCTTGGCCTACTTCATCCACATGATACTCCTGGTCAAGTCGCAAGAGGCTGCCTTGAACGAAGTTCGCGGGAAAATGTCAAGAGTGTTGAGTCAAGACAGCGTTCTGGGACGGCGTTTGTCGCAACAGAGCCGACGCCTGTCGCAACAGAGCATTGCCTGATTATGAGTCGACGCCTGTCGCAACAGAGCCGTGGGAAAGGCGTCCAATCCCAACCACTCGAAGCAGAGAGGCCGCTGGGACTGAACATCTCGTCGGATGTCGGGGGCCCGCGCGTGGACCTCAGCGCTCATTTTCTGCTTTCCCTCGGCGCAGCCATCTCAGCCCTTGGGGGGCTCTCGCCGACCAATCGGAGATGTGGCGTTTCTGTGGCTGCTCTATGAGCGGTGTACAGTGCGGCTTCTCTGGTTGATGTGACTGTTTTTCCAGCTCGCGTCCAGTTGTTCAGTCTTGTCCCATTCTTGATCCGCAGCTTCTTCTCCGCGATCGCATGGTCGTGGCGTCGGGGTCAGCCTGTCAACGTGCACCGAGTCTGTGGCGCGCAGGCTTTGAACGGGCATGCAGATCGACCTCCTACTCCCTCCCTCCTTAGGATGCAACTCGTGTGGTCCGAAACTGGCTTTTTCCAGCTCGCGTCCGGTTGCTCGGGCAGCCAGCGAAAACTACGCAGAGAGACACAGGGAGACACAGCGGGACACAGAAGGACACAGAGGGACACAGAGAAACACAGAAAAGCACAGAGCAACACAGAAAAGCACAGAAGGGCACAGAGGGACACAGAGCGACAAAGAGGGACACAGAGAGACACAGAGGAACACATAAACACAGAGAAACACAGAAACACGGACACAGGGACACAGAGAGACACAGAGGGACACAGAGGGACACAGAGGGACACAGGGACACAAAGTGACACCGAGGGACACAGAGGGACACAGAGGGACACAGCTGGTCGCGGGGGCGGGGGCTCGGGGCGCCTGACAGAGCATTTCGGGCTTATCCAAGCTCGATCTCTCCAAAATCCCGATTCCCGCCATCGCGGCGGTCGCCGCTCGTGGGGACGGGGGCTCGGGGCGCTTGACAGAGCCGGGAACCGGGATTTCGGGCTTATCCAGCCTCGATCTCCAAAATCTTGGTTCCCGCCATTCTGGCGGTCGGTGGTCGCAGGGGCGGGGGCGGGGGCGGGGCGCCTGACAGAGCCGGGAACCAGGATGTCGGGCTTATCCGGTCTCGATCCCTCCAAAATCCATGTTCCCGACATGCCCCAGGTCCCCTACACGACTCTGACACTTGCTAAGAGACTCCGATGCTCCGCACGGACCTCTCCCGAGCGGTCCAACCTGAGGCTCCATTGTAGGCCGTCGGGGGCATGTTTTGGCCGCCTTGGGGGCCTTTTGGGCCGTCTTGGTGTGCTCGTCGGGGCCTCTTGGGCCATCTTGGGGTGATTGTCAAACTGTCTGAGGCCGCGTGGGGGCGCTCTTGGACCGTCATGGGGTGAGAGTGAGAGTGAGAGGGAGTGTGTGTGTGTGTGTGCGCGTGTAGATAACAACATGTGCACGTACACACACACACATACCCGGGGTCCAAGGCAGGGGGCCCTACGGGCAAACTCTGGATCTCCATGCCGGTGGCAGGGCACCTGGGCCCCTCCAAAACGCACCAGAAGCGGCCCAAAAACCACCGCGATGGCCCAAGAGGGATCCGAATCGTTTAAGAACCGCTCCGAGACGCCCAAGATGGGCCCAAGACGTGCCAAGAGACCGACCAAGACGCCTCCAAAAGCCCTCCAGACAGCGGCCCGACAGGCCAACATCTTGATTCTTATAGTTTTTGTTCCTAAGTTTTTTGCTTTCTCGCGTTTTCGGGCTTCCGAATATTTACCGCGGACCAGGAGGTCCCCAAGACCACCCGAAGATGGCCCAAGAGTTCTTATTACCCCAGTAATAAAGGAGCTTTCCAGGAATCCGGGCGAGCACTTGCAGCATCAGCTGGCGATGCTTCCCTCATTCCGTCCTTTCTCCTGCTTTCTTTTATCCTCCGTAGTCATTTGCCTCAAGTGGCCCGTGTGGGCCGCAGGGGGAGTGCAGACTTGAACGGATATTTCACTTCGCATATTTTGGAGCCTTCCGTGCAGTGTTCAGGGGGGCAAAGACCCCAATGCAGAGTTCAGGGGGCTTGATGTGGAATGGTAAAGATAAATCGTATCATCATCATTCTTGCCGTCAAACAGTGCCTCGAAATATCGTTTGGTGGCAAACAACTGGTTATCAGCCGAAACAGCTCTATGAATATTCTGAGTTAAGAGACTTCACTGCAGTGGCTACACCGGCGACGATACATGGGCGACGAGCGCACCATAGACGGTCATCGACAGCCATGCAGCGACGTTTGGAGAAAAAGCAGGAACGCTTCTCAGCTCGTCAGGTCGTGCACGAAGAGCCCCGTTCGCAAGACAAAGCGGAGGAGCTCATGGAAGCCATCCTGAATCTCAAGAACGAGGTCAACAGTGTGATTGATTTCGCAAACAAGAACTTGAAGGTGATGCAGGAGAGCTCGTGCACGATGCAGAACTCGCTCAACGATTGCTTCAAGATGCCCGGCGCTACCGAGGCGCCGAGCGCCGCCGACGCTGCCCCCGGCCAAGCCGAGGTGGCGAACGCACCCGGCCAAGCCGTGGTAGCGGGCACAACCGCTCTTCCAGACGCTTTCGGCCAGCCCGAAGGCGTCGCCGCTGTTGCCAGCCAGACTGACGGCTGCGGGAAGGGAAGTGCGCAGGCCCGAGAAGACACGCACAATCAGCAACGACTGACTGCGCAGCGTCCAGGGGGCGCCATCTACTTCGAGATCGGTTCGGACGCCGAGAACGAGGAGCAGCGCGAGGTTGTCCTCGATGCCGGGTGCGCTGCAGTGGTTGCGCCTGCCGCGGATCCAAACCACAAGCCTCTCTTCGAGCGCCGCCCGCCCCCTGGGCCGGGATGGGTCCGCGTTCGAGATGCATTTCACTTTCGAGAGCCTATTCCCGGTGATCGTGTTCTGGGTTTCTTTACAGGTCTGTTCGGCGGTGAACGAGTTGGAACGCTGGTTCAGAGGAATACCTCGTGGATGTTGGAAGACTGTGAGAAAGGTTGCAGGTGGGACGTACTTGTTGCCGACGGCATTCAGGACTGGCTTGAGAAAGAGATTGGCTGGCACGAGAAAGAATTCGTGATCCTCCCTTCATCCTGAGAGCACGCTGAGATACGCGAGTGAGTACGCAGCACTCGTCGAATCCACTGGATAGGGAGAGTTTTTATTACCCCAGTAATAAAGGAGTTGTCCGGGAATCCTGACGAGCACTTGCAGCATCAGCTGGCGATGCTTCCCTCATTCCGTCCTTTCTCCTGCTTTCTTCTATCCCCCGTAGTCATTTGCCTCAAGTGGCCCGTGCGGGCCGCAGGGGGAGTGCAGACTTGAACGGATACTTCATGTCGCATCTTCTGGAGCCTTCCGTGCAGTGTTCAGGGGGACAAAGACCCCGATGCAGAGTTCAGGGGGCTTGATGTGGGATGGCAAAGATAAATCGTATCATCATCGTTCTTGCCTTCAAACAGTGCCTCGAAAGAGCGTTTGGTGGCAAACTATTCCAAGAGGACCCCAAGAGAGCCCCAAGAAGGCCCAAAGGGCCCGATGACGGCCCAAGAGGGCTTCAATATAGCCCATGAGAGCCCAAAGATGGCCCCAAAAGCGGCCCAAAAGGGGGCACGCGCACCAACAACTCGAGCTTTCCGCCCCGAGAGGCCCCCAGGAGGCCCCGAGAGGCCCCCCCGGGGCCCCAGCAGGCTCCGAGGGCCCCCGAGCCCCAGATCCAGGGAATCGTGTTTTTTTTTTTTTTTTTTTTTTTTTTTTTTTTTTTTTTTTTTTTTTTTTTTTTTTTTTTTTTTTTTTTTTTTTTTTTTTTTTTTTTTTTTTTTATATATATATATATATTATTAAAAAGAAGAAGAAGAAGAAAAAAACAAAAAAGACAAAAAGAGGGGGGTCCCCCCCGCCCGGGCTTGGCGAAAACGTGAGAATGTATGTATATGCGTGCATATATATATATATACATACATATATATATACATATATATATATATTTATATATATATATATATATATATATATATATATATATATATATGTGTATGTGTATATGTATATATATATATATATATATATATATATATATATATATATATATATATATATCGGTGCACGGGTCCGTGGGCCCAGGGCCGGCCCCTGGGCCGCAAATGTGGGCGCGCAGGCCTTTTGGTGGGCCCTCAGGCCTGCAAAGCGCCACAAGAAAGCGCCAAGAGAACCCGAAGACGCTCCAAGAGGGACCCGGGGCGCCCAAAGGCCGCTCCAAGACGCCCACGATGGCTCCGAAACTGCCCAAAAAACTTCAAGACGCGCCCCCAAAACGGCCCAAGAGGTTCGAAAAAACGCCACAAGAAACGTCACGAGACCCCGAAGACGCTCCAAGAAGGAATCGAAACACCCAAAGGCCGATCCAAGACGCCCACGATGGTCCCGAGACGGCTTTTGCCAGCCGCTCTTCCCTTGTCTGCTGCGGAATATGCGACGGTATCCAGAAAAAAAGGGGGCCAGAGGGAGTATTGGAACGGAAATCTGAAGCTCTCCGTCCCTAGAGGTCCCCAGGAGGCTCCAAGAAGCACCCAAGGGGCGCCCAAGAAACGCCGAAGAGGCCCCCGAGACGTTCCCAAGAAACTCCAAGACGCCCCCAGGAGAACGGGCGCCCCGAAGCACCCCTGGCGATCCCGAGGGGGCTCGGAAATCGTACATTTTCGCATATCCGCCTGATTCGCTTTCCCAGCGTCCACGACAGCCCCAGATGTCCCCAAGACGGCCCTTCCACGGGGGGTCCCAGACGAAGATTCGGAACGGATGTTTCCGCTCCCCGGTCGGAGAGCACCCCAGGAAGCTGCAGGATACCCCGTGAAGCCCCCAAGCTGGTCCCAGAGGCCCCCAAGAGATTCCAAGACAGCCCAAAACGCCACCAAGACAACTCGAAGAGGCTTCTAAGATGGCCCACCACCGCCCAAAACAGCCCAAGAGGCTTCCAAGACAGCCCCAAAGGTTCCGGGGTCTTTGGGGGCCGTCCTGGGGCCGCCTTGGGACGTCCAGGCGTCCTCTTAGGCCGTCATGGTCCCCTCTGGAAGCCCTTTCGGGCCAGCTTGAGGTTTTTTTGCGTCGGCCCTGGGCTCTCCATGGGCCCTCTTGGGAGAAGGAGGAGGAGGAGGAGGAGGAGGAGGAGGAGGAGGAGGAGGAGGAGGAGGAGGAGGAGGAGGAGGAGGAGGAGGAGGAGGGGAGGAGGAGGAGGAGGGGAGGAGGGGGAGGAGGAGGTGGAGGGGGAAGAGGGGGGAGGAGGAGGTGGATGGGGGGGAGGAGGAGGAGGAGGAAAAGATGAGGAGGAGGAGGAGGAAGGGGAGCAAGGAGGGGAGGAGGAGGAGGAGGAGGAGGAGGAGGAGGAGGAGAACGGGGGGGAGGAGGAACGGCAAGGAGGAGGAGGAGGAGGAGGATGATGATGATGAGGAGGAGGAGGAGGAGGAGGAACGGGGGGAGGAGGAGCTGCAGCAGGACGAGGAGAGAGAAATATATATATATATATATATATATATATATATATATATATATATGTATGTATATATATATGTTATATGTATATATATAGATTCATTTCGTATTCATTATATATATACATATATGCATATATATGTGTGTTTATATTATATGTATGTATGCATATACATATACACATATATATATATACATATATATATATATATATATATATATATATATATATCAGTAAGGGCTTCGCCCCTGCCGCCGGCCCCCTCTCTCGGAGAATGGGCCACGGAAGAGCTAAGTCATGAGGCCTTGGCGCTGTCGTGAAGCAGTATCGAAACTTCATGCGAAGCCGATTCGCAATCAGCAAAACCAACTGATCACAAGAGGGGTTACCACACCTGGCGATTGGTAAGACGTGTATGGTTTACGGGCTTGGTGACCACACCTTGCGATTAAAGGGCCGAGGGAGTTCTCGCAGCTTGGGTTACCACGCCTTGCGATGGATGTGCGTGAAGGGTGGCACCGAATTTCAGAAATGTGGCAAATCCCTTGTGTTTTTGGACCCTGACCCCGCGGATCTGCGTGAGGGGTGGCACCGAATTTCAGAAATGTGGCAAATCCCTTGTGTTTTTGGACCCTGACCCCGCGGATCTGCGTGAGGGGTGGTACCGAATTTCAGAAATGTGGCAAATCCCCTGTGTTTTTGGACCCTGACCCCGCGGATCTGCGTGAGGGGTGGCACCGAATTTCAGAAATGTGGCAAATCCCCTGTGTTTTTGGACCCTGACCCCGCGGATCTGCGTGAGGGGTGGCACCGAATTTCAGAAATGTGGCAAATCCCCTGTGTTTTTGGACCCTGACCCGCGGATCTGCGTGAGGGGTGGCACCGAATTTCAGAAATGTGGCAAATCCCTTGTGTTTTTGGACCCTGACCCCGCGGATCTGCGTGAGGGGTGGCACCGAATTTCAGAAATGTGGCAAATCCCTGTGTTTTTGGACCCTGACCCCGCGGATCTGCGTGAGGGGTGGCACCGAATTTCAGAAATGTGGCAAATCCCTTGTGTTTTTGGACCCTGACCCCGCGGATCTGCGTGAGAGGTGGCACCGAATTTCAGAAATGTGGCAAATCCCCTGCGTTTTTGGACCCTGACCCCGCCGATCTGTGTGAGGGGGGTCGATTTCGAGCCCCCCCAGCAATTCAGACAACGCGCCCAGGAGGTGCTAAATATCTGCTTTGGGCCTCCCCCCCCCTCGCGCGGTCAATCAACTAGTTACAGTAACCAGCAAGAAGCAGAATTGTAACACTGGAAACTACAAGCTACAACTGGTACAGGAAACTGCGAACCCGCGCCTACAGCCTGGTGGCCCCACAAGGGGGCCGGCGGATAAAGAGGATTTGAAGACGCTGCCGAGCAGGAAGTCCACATGCAGGAGCTTAGACAAATCGCCTCTTGGATGCCTTTTGGGCCGTTCTTCGTGCGTTCTTGGGGACAACTTGTAAGTTGTTTGGGGCCCTCTTGGGGACCGCTGAGGCCTCTTCGTCGCCAAGCGTTGGACTCCAAGTTATGTAGAACCGGAGCGCGCGCGAAGCGCGCGCGATGGTTCTAGTATCTAAAATACGTATGTATATATATATATATATATATATATATATATACATATATATATATACATATATAAACACATACATATACATACATACATACATACACATACATACATACATACATACATACATACATACATACATACATACATACATACATACATACATACATACATACATACATACATACATACATACATACATACATACATACATACATACATACATACATACATACATACATACATACATACATACATACATACATACATACATACATACATACATACATACATACATACATACATACATATACTCTCATATAACGGGGGACCCGGTCCGGGGGCCAGGGGCCGGCGCCCCGACCGCAATTGCGGGGCCTAGCGTCATTTCCCTCGTGTTTTTTTACGGGGTTTCGGCGACCCGGGGCCAACAGGGCCCCAAGAGGCTGCAGGGAGGCCCCAGGAGGCCGCAGCGATGGCTCCAGACTCCTTTCAAGACGACTCTCATGACGCCAAGAAGGCCCCCGAAGGCCCCGAAGACGCCCCAAAAGGCACCCCGAGAGAGCCCCAATAAGCACAAATCGTTGATTTCCTGTGGAAAAACTTGTGTTCGCCTTTTGGGCTTCCACTGCGTCCAAGACGGCCCAAGAGGCACCCAAGCTGTTCGAGGATGCCCCCAAGGGAGCCCCAAGACGGCCCACGAGGGGGCCAAGACGGCCCATGAGGCGCCCAAACCGCCCCAGAACGCCCCAAGGCGGCGCCCAAGACGGGGACGAGGAACCGGAAACTCGCGCGTTCTGGCCCAAGAGACCCCCAGAAGACCCCAAGAGGCTCCAAGAAGCGCCCCAGAAGCCCCAAGAAACACCAAAAGAGGCCCCGGAGACGCCCCAAGAGGCACTCCAATAGAGCCCCAAATAAGCAAACATCGTCGATTTCCAATAGGAAGATTGATATGTTCGGCGTGTTCGTCTTTTGGGCTTCCACTGCGTCCAAGACGGCCCAAG